GAAGCTCACCTACCTGCTTTAATGGCGGCTGTCGCATGAAATGATGAAACTCTTCTAATGCCACACTCTCTCTCTCTCTCAATTTATGAAACCCAAACTCAAATACCGTCTATTTCTCAATAATCGCTTGAACTAGCAGTTGTTGTAACAAACCGAAGATCGAATGTCAAAGCTTCTCCGCATATGCGTTCGGAATTTCGAATTCGTAAAAGGCTTTGTGTCGCCCGGACTATGCGTAGCCCATTGTCGTGGGAAGGATAAAGGCACGAAAGGCCAAAGCTCTCTCTCTTCGAGTTTTCGAGATTGACCGATGAATCTCGGGAGGGAAGAATGGGATGAATATATCTCTTGACAGTGCGAAAGTATTAGTTGTCAAGATAAATTTATTATGTCTGATATCGTAACTTCGAAAAGAGTTGACGGGTAGAGGTTGTCTTTAAAAGAAGGTGGGCGGTTCTAAGAAAGTTTTGAAGTTCTTCTGCGGCGAAGTAGGCTTGTAAATAGTCTCGAGGGATCGAAGATGAGCGAGGCGCAACCTTGATGCGGGGAAAGCTACCTTATGGTGGACACGCGAGAGACACTCTTCAAAGAACAAGAACAGTGGTATCGCAAAAATAGTTTAAAACAAAATGCTTGTACGTTTTCAATGTGCGACAATAGAGAACAAAATGATTGGTCTTTTTTCCCTCTTTTCTCTTTTCTTGGGGAAGATGACGAAATTCAAGAGAAATGGAAATGGAAATCTCCGTTGAAGATATATTCCCAATGAATGATCCTTTTTTTTTTATCTTGGAAGAGGTAGAAGGAGTTGATGATGTGGATGATGGAGGACAATTAATTTTATTATATTTGGGGTAAAATATAAACAAAGTGTATATGTGTGCGTGTGCGTGTGTATGTGTGTGTCTGTTTGTAGTAGGTATGTTGTATGTGTTGTATATATGGATTGATAGGTGGGTATATGGATAGGGATAGGTATATTGATGGAACAACAAGATATGAAGCTTTAAAGAAGGGGGTATTTGTAAATGTAATATAATTGTAAGGATCTCCTAAGGAAAGGCTGAATGACCGACGAATGGATCAAGATGCGAACTGATGGTCTCTTTAGCGTTACAATTGGCACAAGGGTCCGATGTTCGATATCCGAGGGGGGCGTGGAGAGCCAGGAAAGTAAAAAAGGGTTCTAACTACTAAGCTTCTAAATGCAATGAGGGGAAAGATCTAATTGGTAGGAGGATGCAAAAAGAGCCACATATGAAGACAAGGGAGGGGCAATTAGCTCTGCATTAAAAGTGGAGGGCCACCACAAAAGTTCACGGACATGCGTCGACGGTTATGGATGGATGGGTAGAGTTGGATGTGGATGTGAATGTGGAGGTGCTAGTTAATCGAGGTGGTAATGCTAAATGGAGATGCTATTAATGGTAGTGAGAGAAGAAGCTGGTAGATGATGCGAGGTAAAGGTGGTGTGGTGGTGGATGGGGAGAAGAGAAGAGAGAGATATCAAGAGGGAGAGAGAGAGAGGGAGTGTGTGTGTATGTGACTGGTAGAAGATGTGTGAAGACGTGAAGTAGGAGAATAGTAAGAGGAACTGGGCGAGGTGAAGATGTGGAAGGGGGGAGGGGGGAAGGGGGAAAAGGAAAGAGAGATAATCAGGTAGAGTGGCAATGGAGAATGATTCAAACACGGGATATGTAAAGAAAGAGGAAAAAGCAAGCAGTTCTTGTCAGTGAGAACCTGGGCAAGAAGAAGGGGAGAGAGAGAGAGAGAGAGAGAAAGCGATCAGTACTGTACTACGCACCGAGAGAGAGAGAAAAGGGTAAAAACAAGAGACAGAGAGAGGGGAAAGCACTTGTGCCTAACATATTGATAAATCATAGAGCAGCATTGGATTTTCTCTTGAATATGCAAGTCAGAACAAATGGAGCTTCTTTTCAGATGGGAACCACTTAGGTGTAAAGAGACCTGAGTGTGAGAGAACCATCTCTATGGAGTATGTCTAATTGGGTATCCAAGGAATGAGTGGAGATGGAGATGGAGATGAATATGGACATACATATCGTAGGGAGAGCAACCATAAATGATCATCGAGTAGTTCTTGGATTTCCATCAGGCCGTGCAAACAAAACATTATCATTACATTCATCCATGCAGACGAGTGACCGAAAGCAGAGCAAAGCAGAGCAAAGCAAAGCAAAGCAAAGCATATATCAAACAAACTACTTACTGAAGTGCTTATTCAACCTACCTCCGTCTGGTGAGGAGAATGATCAACGATTGGCATGTACGATGTTGTAATGTTGATATGAATTGTCTTGCAATTAATAGAAAAAACCAAACACTAAAAATCTTTATTTCAATCAAAATTTAATATATAAACAACAACTCAATATAATCTTTTCAAATCTTCAATAATACTTATTTATTAGCTTATAATTTCTATAGATTAATTCAAAAAGATTTAAAATATAAAATTAAATTAATACTAAGTTTTGAAAAGGAATCATTTTCAAATTTTCATTTATTTTGCAGGGTTGGTGTTCGGTTTTTTCTGTCGGTCGCGAGATTGCCTTGGTAACGTAAACTATATGTACGTCTGTCCGCCTGTCTGTGTTGCAGATAGTATCTGAGATACGAACCGGTAGAGAAAGTAACCGACAAGATCATCAGATGCAAGAAATTACATACCTAGGCACCTAGGTATTTTTTTTTTTAACAATGTACGATATACGGAGGACTAGGTATGATCCTAAAAACTACCAGGTTATCTTTACGTGACAGATCCAGACCGACCGAAATAGGAGATGGCGAGGCCTCGAATCCCTTCTCTTAGTAATATATAGATTAATAAAGCGACGATCTCTTTCAAATCCCCCGTGAGCGTGTGAGGTAGCTGAGCTGGGTAGATGTCGGGTTTTCCTTTGCAACATTGGGTAGGACAAACTAATTGAAAAGAAGAAACTATCTGTTGCCGCTTCATTGACTCGAAAAAGTCACATTCAATTCATCCTCTACGATGCTTCGTTCGTAGATGTTTTTTACCCGACCGATACTTTGCATCCATGTTGGCGATACCACAAAGAGCGTTTGATACATTGGTTGATTGAATACCACGCATTATTACTAGGTACCTAGGTATCACACTCCATCTCATTGGAAAGGAAATCTCAAGTACCGGCATTGCAGATATGAAAGACCATAATTATCACACTCCTTATCACAAATATTCATATGACAATAAGAAGCACACGAAATAGATGGAAGTACGAGAAGTTAATGTTTATGTTGTGAGCCCATCTTGAAAGTTGCAACACACACCATCCATACATACATCAAATCACTGCAGCATAATACGATACCCTCTTTTATTTCTATTGCCTTTACCTTCTTCCTCACATACCTACCTGTGCATCTTTTCAAAGTCCAAATACTTTCGACATGGCATATAAATTAAATAAAAAATCCAGTCTTTGCCACAACGACGACGCCACCATCATCTCATTCGATGAATAATTCCTTCATCCTCTGTTTGTTTCGACGGATGATTGTTTCTTCCCTGGACACGGTTACAAAGATCTGGATGGCGTATGTCGTAATAGTATTAATCCTTTCAGTCTAGGATCGAGATGGCGACATATTACAAGATTTTGAAATTCTGCTGCATTTTTCCAGGCTTTCAAGCTACCCCGGATTCCTCTCCCGCATTTTCCTTCCCGCACTCTGCTGATCTAGTTTTGGACCCTCGAACCTTGAGTTGGTCCAACGTTGGTAAGGAAAGAGAAAGTAAAGGCAGGAGATGAAAGTCTAAAGAAATATCCGGGAGGCGGTTGAAGAGTGGGATGTCCCGAAAGAACAAAGAAGAACGGCATTGCCCTATCAGAGTCTAGGTGTTATAAAAGTAGATTCTTGCATGCAGTAATAAAATCAAGCTAGTTGTTTCTGGATTGCTCCGTAGATTATACTGCAAATACCTACAGAAAGATACAGACACCAATTGAACTTCATCCATTCTAACATTCCTTTCCCCTCACCCCCTCAAACCCCTCCCCCCCCCCTGTCAACCAAAAGCGGCATCAATAACTCCTACTTCCCTGACAATTCAAATCGGCAAAAGTTCCCCTCCCAGTCTTCCACGAAAGCCCTTTGCAATCGCGGGGAAATGAGAACTTACCGTTCCATACTGGTGCAACACCGACAAAGCCGAAAGCAACTCTACCTACAGGCGCTTCCGCATATACATCTCCAATCACCAAGAAGGTAACCCCTCATTGTCCCTCCATCGATACCATTATATCTTGTCAACTGCGCATATCCTCTCCAGCCTTGTCATTCGAGTAGAAAACCATACGATATCTATCAAGTTTCTTTGCCAGCCAAGAAATCCTGCAGTTCTGAGTGGTGACATTGGAAAGCCAAAACGCCCATTTCAACAACGCGTACTTGATTCGTCACGGAAATTTTTGTCCACACCCTGCTGTGGATGGAAGAAAGACCCGCAATTTTGATCCAATCAAATCATCACAGTTGATGCAGGGTGAGGGGACATATGTACTTCGTAATTGGATTTGCATGAAGCAGTATCAGGGGGGGTGCGGGATATCCAAATTTCTATTCAATGAGGCCGAATTGATATCATAGGAGCATCAAACCTGGAAAAAGCTTATACGGCCGAATTTGTATTCAGACGTCCAAGTCAGTTCGTTTGTCAAATTTGAACATTTGTAGATGGCCATTGAAAAACGTTCGATCTTCAAAGATGAAATGAAACATAGAGGGGTGCTGTGAGGCGAGGCTTAGGCACGTATGTTCGATTTTGATGTGCAATCTATTTCGTCCATCGCGTGAATGGTAAAACATGCACAAATTTTATGTGGGTATTGCAGACGCTGTGAAACAAAATCCTCTCCAGTGAGAAACCTCAACAGATTCTTTGTACATCCGCGCTGCTGCCATGCGGGTAGATCCCAAAGTCATGCCTCCTTAACCAAGTACCGAGCTCAACCTGGAATAGAATCTAAGCTACTTGATGCAACTGCATCAGGACCTTTTTGTTGCTTCAACTTCTCCTCAAACTTTGCAAATTCTGCGAGAGCTATCTCTTCCTCCTCATCCAATACTTGTACAACTCCTTTCACTTCTTCAATCTGCACTTGTTGTTAGCCCATTGTTGCATAAATGATCATCTGAGCATTAGATCCAAGAATGGAGGTTTTGGTACTTACATAATGCATAAGCATTCCCTCAATACCATTCTTCAACGTAACAGTACTTGAGTCGCAAGTTCGGCATGCACCTCGGAGCTTCAACTTGACCATGCCGTCCTCGAACCCGCGATAGTCAATGTCCCCACCATCTTCCTGAATTGCGGGCCGGATGCGAGTTTCAAGCAATTCCTTAATCATTCCGACAACCTCCGGATCATCCTCATTGTATGCTAGACTGTCTTCTTCCTCTGGTTCGCCACTTGCTCCTGTCCTCTCCGTGAGGTTAACAATTTGTGCACCGGAAGTTACTGCTTCCGTAATGAGACTGAAAACTTCGGGTTTAATATGCGCCCAATTCGCATCCTCTACCTTGGTGACTGTAATGAAATTCGCGCCATAGAAAACGGACTTGACCCCGTCGATATTCATCAACGATGCGGCGAGCGGGGATGGATATGGTGGCGCAAGCGTGGATCTGGGGTTGAGGTATTCTATGAAGGGCGAATTGACGTCTTGTGGTATGATTGGATGATTAGGAAGGAACTTCAGTGCATCCGGATTTGGAGTGTCTTCTGTTTGGATAAAGATGCTGCGAACGCCGCCGATCGCAGCAGGCTTTAACATGGTTGATGGTTGATGGAGTGGTTGAAGAGTTGGTCTCGTCCTTGAACTCGAAGCTGTCATAGCTGGCAATCTTGCACTTTGGTGTACATATCGCTGCGAGCTTCTAGGACAGATGGTAAATGATGACTTCCCCGGTCGAGATTTGGATAGCAATGTCTTTGCATCCTGAATAATTCTTTTTGATGCCATCGTGTGTTCCACCTGAGATCTCGAGAATGAGATGAATATGATCAATATATTTTATTGTAGTATCCAAACTGAATATTCGAAAGAAATTAAGATAGGGTGACGATATTAGAGGTATGGTAATATGAAGTGAAGATTGAAATGTGTTTCTATATTATTCTACGTGAGGTTCTTTGTAAGCGTGGATATGACGCAGAATGGTATTACCTCCATTTTGATTGGCCGTTCTTATTCCGTGATCAACAAGGTTCTATCTCCACCAAAACTTTTTTTGTCGGCCGTGCAAGGCTACGAGCTTGCAATAGCGATGCATTCTCAAATTATTCTCATCCGAACTTACTTCCTCAGTTTTTCACATCCTATCGAAATTGCTAGCTTCCTTCTTTCACTTTCTGTCTGGAAAAGTATAAATCTCATCCGCATGTGAGTATTAACACATTTCAGATGAATTGACGAGAACAGTTCACAGTCAATATTTCTTTCCTCTCGTTCGTCCCTCTCGTCTTGTCCAAAGAGCTTCAAGTATACGCAGGCCTCTATCGTTCCTCAACATCATGGATACTATGGAAATCTCTTTCGAAGGTGGTCACTCATCTGAACCCATCGATCTCAAGAATCAATTCAGCGTTAGTGTAGCAGAAGCGCCAGTCGAAATTATCGATCTCACAAATCGTGTCGCTATGGAGAAGCCTTCCGTTGATCCAAAACTCTGCACCCTATGTAAGGAGAACAGTTACAAGTACAATTGCAGATATTGTGATGTGCGATAGTAAGTGCCTTCTTCTACGAGCGAATAAGAAGTTTGGCGCTGATTCTCAGAAAGCTGCTCTGTAAAATGTTCAAATATACACAAAGCCGACACCAACGACCACGAAGTAGAGAAAGAGAAACTTGCCTCTGCGCCTCCTCCAACCAAAGCCCCATCACCAATATCCAAAGCGAATCCCGCAGCGCGAGCAGGAACTCTAGCTGCAGCCAAAGCCAAAGGACCATTTGAGCCTCTGGACAACTCGAAGGAGCTTGAAGAGCTATTCAAAAAATACCCAAATCTACGTTCACAGCTCGAAACAGTTGATGCTGCCACTCTCCGCCCGACAGGATTTAATTCACATAAATGGAATCAAGATCAGGGGTGGGAAAATGGGAGGAAAGCTTTACAGAACGCAAGAGGCTATTATGGAAAAGATGGCGAGGGCATTCGGGAGTACTGTGGACTTGTTTTGCGGCTTCTAGGTGATAGAGCTGAGCAGGACGAAGAGGCGGCAGCAGAAATTTTACGAAAGGAGGCCTTGGCCGAAAGCACCAGGGTGGTTCGAGCATTACTGGAATCTGAGAAGAGAAGATGAAGAGATTATGAGATGCCAGCATCAATTTACGCACTACAGGGACCTCACCTTGGAAAGGCAATAATGGTATGATGAACACGCCAAAAATATCCGTTCAGGCGAAAACGGTGAGCTCTCTATTCATTGACTTCATATTTTATGAGTCTAATATCGGTAATAGAGTATGGTTGATAATATTATCAAAGACTTCCTGGATCTAATTTGGGCAGATGGGAGATAAGATGAAGTTGTCGTTCTGTCCAAATAGGATATCATGCATAAAAAGCTTAGGAAGAACGAGACAAAGTTAAGAGTTAGAAGTCAGCGCGCTCTGGAAAGAAATTAATAGATACCCTTGAATACAAATAAAATTAATTCATTAACTACCATTAACAGGAGAACTACGCTTGAATCTCCCAAAAAAGCTCACTCTACTCGTTGATCTCGCAAGCGACTTTGTCTTTGACCCCTCGCCCGACTCGAGCCCCTTCCCCTTTCTAAGTTTCAACGACAATAACGGCCCCACCATCCCCTTCATCGACCTTCTCGTCTCCTCACTCTCATCCCGTTGCGTCCAATCATGCCTGTCATGCTTCTCCCTCTTCACTTCCTTCACCTCCTTCTCCTCCTTTTCTTCCCACGACAAATAATCCCCCATACTCATGGGTCGCATGACGGCGCGACTTTTATGCACAACAGGTACATCCGAATTGAACGTTCTCCGCGGACATCGATACACATCCCTCTCAGCATCCAATTCCGCCGCGCGCTCCAGCGCCGCCGTCCACTGATACTGATTCCGATTTCTCAACTTCGTCCGGTCGACCATGGCATGATCGTAAATTTGCGTTTTCTGTAAAAGCGTGCCGGGTTTCTGATACACGTATCCGGAGCCGCAGCCGCCGAGTCCGTCGCCCCCTTCGTCAATGGTCATGTAGCCTAGACTTTTCAGCGCGGGCTGGGAGAGTTTGTGTACGTTGCGGAGTTTTTCGGCGGTGGCTGTGTGTTCGAAGGAGAGGACGGCGACTTGGGGGATGTGGTGGTAGGGGTCTGTGGAGGTGGAGGTGGAGGAGCGGGCTTTTTGTTGGGCGAGGTGGGCTCTGAGACGGCGGGAGAGGTCGTCGGGGTCGAGGGGAACGCCTTTTTTGGAGCGGGTCCGGGGTGCGGGGAGGGGGTGGTAGTGACATTGGGGGCGTGGGGGGTAAGTCATTGTTCTGTAAGGTTTCGATTTCTGGGATGTTGTTAGATTTTGTGTAATGTGTAGTTTGGGGTTGTACCCAAAAGATGGATATGACTTACCCAACACACTTCTTCATAAGTCGAAATAGGTTCTTCAGCAACTGATGTATCCATTTTGAATCCTGACTCTGTGCTCTATATAGACAATATCACTTCTTGTGCTTCTTCAAACTGAGACACTTCTCGATTCGAACGGTCGCAAGTGTCTGTGTCAGTGATACCTCTCACAAGACCACAACCGAAGGCTTCGAGCAGATCGGAACACAGCGCGTAGCCGGAAGAAGTATTCACGCTGGAAATTACGGGTGTACGAAAACTGTTGGCAAAGAGTCAGGCAGGTAGTAGCGTAAACTCTGTAGCGTGGTGAGACCCTGAAAGTGGCGCGAGTGGGGCAGCGCGAGTCCAGATTGAGGATGAGGTGTGTGGGGAGAAGGTTTTGCGAAGATGGGGGTCGGGGGAGATGTAAGATTGGATTGTTTGTGAAGCGGAAATGAAGGCTTGTGTAAACAAGATGAAGTTGTGGAGGCTCGAGACTTTGAGCTTGAAACCTGGTGGCTCAATTGAGGATGGTTTGGATGGCAGGTTGTGAAATCTGAGGCGTTGAAATGATGCCAGGAGAGTCAGGGACTTTGCCTGGCGGGGTATTTCTAGACGATGGATCTAACACAAGTGTAACGCTACAGAATGTATGGTAGAACGAAGAACATGTAGGAAATGAAGCGAGGCAAAGCAAAGCAAAATAAATCAGAAGAATGAGAATGAGGAGATCTATATATCTATACTTAGATAACACTACCCACTTACACGTACATGATATTGACAACATCCACCAAGAATTCCAAGTCATTTCTTTGAAATCATGCGAAATATCGATGTCTGTTTTAAGTTGAAATCAACAAAGCAAGGGACCGTCTACAGACTTGTGATGATAATTGAAGAACCATCTATTGTTGTTCACATGCTAGCTTCTCCTTCTACTCGGTCAGCAACAGGCATGGAGCTAGGAAGATGTATCGACTTTCGAGTAAGAAGGGTGATGGAAGGTTGTGGCAGCATTCGATGAAACTTCTGGATTGGTTAAGGCTTTTGTCTAACGGGTACTGTAAAGTTAATGCTTAATGGCGCTATGGTCTCATAGCGCGATAATCTAAATAGATAACAAGTAGTTTGAGCCCACTTGGGTCCAAGATTGAAAGAAAAAAAAACTTCCAAAGAGTAGTCTTAACTTTCGTAATGCAATATTCTCGTCTCTTCGACAACATCATACGTAAATTTGGTACACCATTGACGATCTAATACATCTAGTGCTCGCCATCGATATAGATAGTAGAGAAGAATACATGTTAACTCGATTTGAACGACCGTTAGCGATGGAATTATATACCAATTGGAAGATACAGTAGTATAATATTGCGGTGGTAGAAATACAGTTATCACGCGGGAAACCTTGTTCGAGATCTGCAGTTTTCGGTCGGACCAAATCTTACCCAGCGAGCCAGCCCAGCCCACTACCCAGCAATCCAATCTTCAGTCTGCTCAGTGCCTGCGTCCACTTGCATATGAAAAGCGGTCACGGTCAATTTGCTTCCTCTTACTCTTTAGTATCAACAAGAGTCACTTGATAGTACGTGAAAATGTTGCAAACTTTTGCTGCGTTTTCCGCCGTCAGCACAGGAGTTCACCCACGCCCACCTTTGAGCACTCGAACTTCATCCCTTTACGGATGGACACACACTAGCCATTCTGGCTTGAGAGAATGGTATCCGTGCCATGAGGTTATACTGAAGTCAAATGGGATCATGTGGTTCTGTGGCGAGTTGTGGCGGCAAAGCTATTGACACACACACGGCATACTACGTGATACTTAGGTTAGCTGATGTGAATTTTTTGTTCTGTGCGTGTTAAGGTTAAGGTTCATAAGTGACAAGATTGACATGTCAGGATGGAGATTTTCAGAGAAGGATTGTCATGTTATTGTGGTCAAGTCACTTGAGATTTAGAAGAGCAGCTGAGCTGAGATGCATTGAAAACGGATGATACTGCTGCATAAATGTGTTAGTGTCCACGGGTAAATCCAATGGCAGGATACTGTATTATCATCTCGAACGTTGAACTACCTATTAGATACACAGCAATGGGGGAAAAAAGTGACCTCAGCCCGTGGTCACGCCCCAAAATTCCTCCCGAGATGGATCGAGCGACTACTGCATGTTGTCGTGATAATGTGACATGGATTTGTAGTGTGCATTAGTACTGTATGTGAAAAGTGGCGATTAGGGGTATCCTTTCAGCCTTGTGATGTGACATACTATAATGGTGAAATGAAGGGGGAAAGAAGGTAAGGGGAAGGGAAGAATATTGAGAACCAAAACTTATCGTCACCTGCGCACGTAGAGTAGGGAGAATGTCTGTATGTATGGCAGAGCTGTGGAAAAGATGATTATAGATGGGCGAAAGAATAACTTAAGGTTGTCAATAGTGGATGGACGAATGTCTTCCTCCTACCTTTGTGTATAGGGAGTATCAATTCTTTGGTTTTGGTGTTTGTGATGGATGATGTTGTTGTCTCTCATTGGCGATGGTCTGTGAATACTAGGTGACTACCTAGTACCTAACTAGGGATTCTGATTCTCATCAACACTCTCAACTGGGAGGTCTTAATTCAATTTACTGCTCACTACTTCTAGCTCCCAGAAAGTAAAATGGTGGATTGTGTTGTGATTTTCTTGCTTGAATATAAATATGTATATTGGTTTCACGAGATCATCCCGGAGCCTCACGTGTATCTATATGGCCAATCTGTCGGAAGGGTTATTTATGATTGACGGAATTCAAATGATGAAGGATGGCCGGAAGGGGGAGGGAGAGGGGGCGGGGGGAGAGAAGGATGAAGGAAGAGAGGGAAAGAAAAGAAGGAAAGGAAAGGAAAGAAAAGAAGGAAAGGAAAGAAAAGAGAAGAAAAGGAAACGTAAGAGATGAATAGATGGACGGATAAAATAACATAAAAAACACCTCCTCTATCAAAACATATCACCATCGTTGGGTGACAGTCAAATCATCGAGTTTTTCCACGGAGTGCAGACAGACCAAGCCGAAAAATAGGTGGATAATTCATACAAATAAAACCGCCACGCATACGAACTTAGATGAAATCCAATCTTGATCATGACATGACAATTGATTCGCCGTCAATCAAGAAATGAGATGGATATTATCCAAATGAAAATCGATTGATTGATCCAGCCATCTCCAATCGAGCCCTAGAGTTCATCCCATGTATCATCTAGGTATCTTCTTGTTTTTCAATTTACCCCGATTATCTAAAGTTCTCGCGGATTCATTCGTACCTGTTACCTGGGTATCTATGGAAAAACACCCTCCCGCCCCAGATCTTACCGCATCGTATTAGCACACCTAGTTATTACTTCTCATTACACCATCATTACTCCGTACAGGATAGTACGAGCAAGAGAACGAGCAAGAGAACGAGCGAGCGAGAGACAGATTCTAGGCCTAGGTACTTTGAGTTTGGGTACTTTGCAATATTATCTGAGACTGGAGCAAAAGCCGTTCGAGTTTGATATTCTCCCTTCAAACTCAAGTCACTCAACACATCTTCATTGCTCTTGGAGAGACTTCACTCATAAAACACAAACTCGGAAATAGTCAAACATCCTAATATCCAAACGTCCGAACATTCAAACATTCAAACATCCAAACATCCAAACATCCAAACATCCAAACATCCAAACTCCAAAATGATCATGTTCCGGCAATTCACT